AAGGAAAATGTAAGTCATCCATTTATAAATTTTTACATTGCCATTTTGTAGTGAAAATTAATGTTCTTTCAAAGTTTTACAAACAGCACTGCTTTTTTTCTCTCTCTCATAATTTAGCCCAGATGTTAACTCCTAGGCTAACACAACTCCAAAATGAATGTTAGCAGAACTAATGAGTGAACTTCCTGAACCAGCTCACCCTAATTCCAACCCTGTATACAATTGGTCTATCTTTGTAAATTTTCTTTAGTTTGGAATAAATTCTAAATATGCAAAATGCAATTAAATCTGTGAAATTTGTTTAAGATTAGAAAATCACTATTGTTGAAATGTAAGATAAAACCCGGTACTAGAGCTTCTGTCCTTGACTTGTACTAAAACTTGAATCCACCCTGCCCAGTGGACTGTGTTTAGGAATGCTGCAGCTGATGTTCATTAGAAATGTGGCACCCAAAAGATTCAGGGGTCTCCACTGAAGCTCATGTAACCTTTTCCTCTTTTCCCTATAAGAATTCTCTCAGGCTATCTGATAAAACACTTTAGCTTTCTATGGTAACTTTCTTTTTAAAAATTTTTAATTGAGTTTATTGGTACATTTTAGGTATACAGTACAGTTGCATTCATTATTGGCATCTTGTACCTTTACATGACAGGTCTTGGTTCTCACTTTTTCCGCTTGTCCCTGCCCTCCCTTCACCCAAGCCTCCTCCCTTCCCAGTTTACAAACACTGTATTGCCATTTTTTCATTTTTCTCGTGTTTTTTTTCTTTTCCCTTATTTCCTTTCCCCTACCCTTCCCACTTTCCCTACACCTTTATCCCTTTTCGTCCTATTTCACATTGTCAATTATCTCATTAGGATCTTATGTACTATTAAATTTTTTCACACCAGAGAAACTATTTGGTATTTGCACATGTGTGACTTATTTATTTCACTTAGGAGTATATCCTCAATATGTATCCATTTTCCTATGAACCAATCTAATTTAAAATTTTATAACTGTCCTTGAAAATTAAGATGCGCAGGGAAACATTCTGTCCCTTAGGAAATGAAAGAAAAAGGAAGTTCAGAAGGTGACACAACTAATGGAAGAAAATTATTATCTTCAGACTTTGACCTGACTCTGTAATCAGACGATGCCCTTTTCACCTCACGTATGAAGACCAATAAATCCTAGTGTATTGGATTTTATAGGAATAAAAGATCCATAACTATATCATATTCATGTCACAATCATAGTTCATTATTATCATAAAGGGAGATTAAAATACTATTTCAATTCCATTTGGAGTGAGAAATGTGTTGATTTCAGAATTGTTACACTGTATATTTGTAGCCACTATACACACACACATGAACACACACGTACACACACACGTATATACTTACTTAATGGCAGCCTCTGTATTCCTATATATACTGTGTATACTTTATTAATTGTATAATAAAAGTATGTAGCTACTACTGCTCAAAATATAAGGATGTTCTTATTATATTTGCAAGCTTTTTTCACACATACTGCCAAAGTATTAATATTATGCTGTCTTGATATAAGAAAGACTGACATGGTTTAAAAATGGTATGATGTTGGAGGCATCTAGATATAAGTTTATGTACCAGCTCTGCAACTAACAAGGTGTGCAGTTATGGGCATGTTAGCATATCCGTGGTTTATTTTCTTTGTGTAAAGCGAACCTGAATGGTGTGTTGTGAGAAAGAAATGAATTTGTGGATATAAAACACTCAGCGTTACATTTGGCCCAAATAAATCCTCATTAAATGAACACCAGACACATGATATTTTATTCTAACAATTACTTACTAAACATTTAGAAGAAGTCTTACTCAGTGCTATACAAGTGTGTTTTCATGGCTTACTAAGTTTGGAATATAAAAAAGAAAAGATATAGCTTGATCCTTAGATCACGTTTTCTCAGTGTCAGCGCCACTGAAATTTTGACAGATGAATCTTTGGTGCAGGAATCTTCTCTGTGAACATAGTGTTTAGTAGCTCCCTGGCCACCGAGTATCAGATGCCCCAGGGCCTGACCTTCCTTCTGATTTGTGTCAACTGAAATGGCTGCACATAGCGCCAAATATATCTTTTAGGGTTATCTGTACCTCTCCAGTTGAGAGCTTCAGCCTTTGATCAATTATTTGTAAAGAAGACTGATGGACTGCTAGTCCTAGGAGATTCTCACCAAATGATCTCAGGATCAAACAAGATGAGAAACGTTTAAAAAAACAAAAATAAATCAGCCCCCCCCAAATATAAAGACCCAATTCAAAAATGGGCATCCGAAATGAACAGACATTTCTCAGACAAAGAAGCAAAAGCAGCAAGTAAATATATGAAAAAAAAAATAGTAATGGCTAATTTTTGGTTAGTTTAAAACGTGGCAATGTGTTCAATTTAACCCCCATAAAAAAACTTGTAAGTTGACTTTGATTTTAAGAACACATCTTTTAAATGAGAAAATTGAGCCCCCCCCCACAAAAAAATCAAGTACTTAACTGAGATCATACAATTAGAAAGTGGCACAGCCAGGTTGCTTTCCAAGCCATCTGTACAGCCTGTGCAATTATTAGATAGCACTGAGCCTTGCATATTCCACTTTATAATTTTTAAAAAATCAAATTGGAATGTTAAGCAGAATTATTTTTAACTTGTGATATTCATTAGGCATTTACTCTATCTCAGGCATGTACAAAATTACCTTGTATGTTAATCAGTTGATGGTAACCTAGTTATTTGCTAACTTATTATTGTCATAAACATCCTTGAATGCAAGTAGAGAAGCCACTTTCTCTGGAAAAATTAACAAAACAATGCCAGGGCAAATTTAGATGGTCAGGATCTGAGGAGAAAGACTGTTCTGTCTGAAGGAAGCAGAAAACACTTTAAAGCATACATAATGTTCAAATTAGAACTTTAATCTACACATTAAACTGGGATAAACAAGTGTCCACCAAGTGAAAAGGCATTGTGAACAGAATTAAAAGGATATACAAAGGTCTGAAAAACTAAGAGGACTGATATGTTTGGAAAATGGTGGGAGTCAAGAACAGGAGATAGGAAAATAGGACTAGAGAGAAGGCAGGGTTTTGCATTATTATATCTGATTTGACTCCTTTAATTTTGTTACCTTCACTGTAAGGGCAGCAGAGCACAAGTGGCGTAGTGGTGACAATAGGTAGGTACTTGACAATGACAACTGAAATGAATAGTGTTCAGAGGTGGGGAAAACATGACAGACACTAGTACAGTGCTTTCTGCAAGACATAATAAGTTAAGGTAGAACGGTGGGTCAGATATGAGAGCTGCTGTTAATAAGAGAAGCCGGGCAAAGAAAGTCCTCCTAATAGGCTCTTAGAGAAAATAAGTAGAATTATTTATGGAAGAGCTATCTCTACAAAACAAAATAATGCACCCTCAAGGATATAATATAACTATAGGGCTGGCAGCTTTCTGTTAACCTCGAGACTTTGTAGTAATGTGTTGTAGATGCTGTGGATGACCCAGAAACCTCTTCTCATCCCGCTTCAGATTTTCCATAGATATTGAACATCCTAGTTCTTCAGTGAAGGTCCAAAAGCTCCAAGGTAGATTCTGAATTTTATTCCTGAATATTTAGTTCAGACCACTTTGTCTATTTCCTTAGGATCAGCTCACCTGGGAAAGGTTAACTCAGAGGAGAGTCAGCCACATGTATTTGAACGACATTGAACCAGCTAAAAATGTTGGGAAGACATTAGGTCCAGATGCTCAAAAAGTAGTAGCTTTTTGTTTTGGTTTGGTTTGTTTTTTTGTACCAGGGATCAAACTCAGGACCTTGCGCTTGCGAGACAGGCAGTGGAACCACTGAGCTAAATCCCTGGCCCTAAGAAGTAGTTTAATTGATGAATTAATCAAATTTTGGATTCACTGTAATGACCTTTGATTTAAACGTTTGAAATTAAAACAGCAAATATACCCTTTTAAGCCTTAATAGCATTTTTTCTCTTTTATTCCTTATTGAAATAGCTAATGAGTCACTCTCAAAAAAAAAAAAATACTCCAGCATAATACCAAATGGACTTTTATCTCTATGCATTATGCAATAGATTATTACAACCTTATTACTCAAGTTCAAAATGAATATATAACACACTTAACCTTTCTATTTTTTCAAATATCTTCTTCAATCTTGCCTTTATGTCATTCTCAGTATTTGAGTTTATTTAAAATGCACATTTTGTTTTACAATTGATACAGACTTTAAAATCCCATCCCCAGAAGTTTCAAAGGAAAATATTTCATGTACTATATTTCAATAACATTTATACGTGTGTCTAAAATCAAAATTACTAATAATATCTTATATTTTAGGAGTGATACTATGATCTAGTATCTACTATGATACTATGATACTATGCCTTCCAGTTGTTATTTCAAATAAAAATGACCCTATTAAATAAATATTCTTTATCCCTTTTTTAGATGGGCAGAGTATTAAAGCAAAATAGATTGGCAGAGTAAATTAAGTTATAAGTGCTCAAAGTTATGAATATGTATCGTTAACAGTAGCATACTTTCCAACATCCTGAGGTTAGGCCAAGGATAAGATGCTTTGATCCCACATTTATAAGATATCAACTCAGAAAACTAGTTTTAAAATATCTCAGGTGTCAAGAAGTAACTATGTACATAACTTGTATTATGCATAGCTACAGCAATATATAATAGTAAAAAATGTTTACTGATGAAATAGTTTTTATAAAACCAAGTATAAGGAGTCTTTATATGCAATAAATATGGACAGACAAATGAAAAACCTACGAATAAATATGATTGCCTTCCCTGCCCCAATTTGATCCAGATGAACAGGATAATTAGTTCAGACGTATTTCACTTGTGATAGGGAAATTCTATCCCACGATGAAAATTGATCATCCTGTCTACAGTGAAAGAGTTGATATTCTTAATATTCTAACACATTCTTTTTATGTAAACATTTTAGGTATATCAATATATGCATGAAACGATAACTGTTAATGGCTGTCCTGAATTCCGTGCAAGGGCCACAGCAAAGGTAAGCCTTGAGTAGCTTTTAAAAAATCCTTGACCCTGGTGATCTAGTAATTGACTGTGCGCGTGTGTGTTGCAGGTATTCTCGTGTGTACACTGTAAGAAAATTTAGACATCAGTGGCAGCCCAGAGTCTAGAACCATTACTACTTCCCAGGTAAAAATCCTAATGGAAAATTGAACGTTTCTGCTGCTTCTGTAGCTTAAGAAAGGAGAATGATCTCATTAAAATCACTAAACATCCATTTGGCACAAGCAAATCGACTGGTTCATTTTACAAAGTACTACATGGTTTTCTGACACATCTCTGATCCTAAAGAACCTGTTTCCTACTTTCTGCATGAATATTTATTTGCACAGGCCCGGAGACTTCATGCAATTTAGACATGAAAAGAATTCATGACACCCACTGTTCTGGATTCTTCTTAGTATTTAGTGTAGCAGTGGGTAACTTGCTGAAAGAATGTGGCATTGACCTACAAGGAAGTCTTGTCACCTTTTACAGTAGTGACCGTTTTTCCTCTTTAAAAACTCAAATCCAGAGATTACAGAGACCCTTCTAATGAAAATGACATAGCAATAGGATCATGAAATTTTCTGGAAGATAGTCCATTAGGAAACAATAGTTTTAAACTAAAATCCCTGATGCAGTTCATATTCAAGAAATACAGAAATGTTATAATAGAACACAAATTATTTTTTAAAACTTTTGTCTTTCTAATAATGAATAAGAAGCAACAACCAGTGAAAATAATCAGAAATTTACATTTAATTCCTTTGTGTTTCATCATCTGTTGTTTGGTTTCTTTCTTGACTTTTTCTGTGTTTTCATTCTGTTACTGAATAGTGTAGATTAGTAAGTTTTTTTATTTTTGTAATCCAGGCAAAAAGAGTATTATTTCCATCACATCATACTTTGCTTGTACTGAAGTGGAACACACGCAGAAAAAAGATCCCTACATGGTTTAATTAAGGGGAAAGTGAATTATGTGATGTTTTACCATTCTCATTTCTTATTCATGTAGAACAGCAGGATAGCAGCATAATGTTGCAATAGCACAATATTTTCTGGTTGTTTCTGGGCTGTCTGCATTGCATCCATGTCAGCCATTAAAACTTATGCATGTGACAAGGTTTGCATGAGCAAATGCATGTAGCTAAAAACAAGCCATTATTTCCATATCATTCACTATCTTTCACTAAATGCAGGCAGTAGCATAATGCTCAATTGATGTGATAATGCTGTGTGTGGAAAAAGAATGTACAGTCATTGGGAATCAATATTTTCACAGTGTTGAGTAAGTCACTCTGTAGTAGGTGTCTCATCAGCTGTGGTTAAGGCAGGCTATGGGAAGTGGAAAATAAGAAGTGGGCCGAGACTCTTTTCTTGAGTGGAAACTACACAAACACTATTATTTCTATGGTGGGTAGGGATTAATGGTAAGTTATTTTCTTGTGCTTCTTCAAAGAAATTAACATGAATTTTTAGGGGCAGATGCAGTGCCACTGAGCTACATCCCCAGCCCAACATGAATTTTTAAATAAAGTTATGTCCGTATGAAGTGATGTTTTTAAAATTTAGGCATAAAGCTATGGACTGTTCATCTTGCCTGTGTCAGTCACTGTCGAAGTTTAAATACTAAGTAACATCCAGGAGGAAAAAAATCTTGTCAGATAAAAGGTTTCACATAGTGATATGAAATATTGGTATGAAATAGCAATCTCTTTGAATCTATTGTTTCATTTTAGTTTTCATTTTAGCTTAGCATCCTGGATTTTTTTAAAAAAACTTAAATTTACACAATATGCGATTTGTCGATAGCAAGATTAAATATGTACTCTCAATACCGTACATACAAGTGCTCTTCAGCTCATTGTTTACAAACACTTACATGCAAGCCCCAAGTTAGACTATGTGTCACACACGCACACAAAAAAATACAAGACAAATTCAGACCTTAAGGTGCCCATAGTCAACTTATGTACAAAATAATTATAGTATTAGGTAATATATGCATCAAAACTATATGGAGTTCAGAAATAGGACTTGCATCTAAGTGAGATGACTATGAAAGAATTCTACATGAAATATTTACTGTAAAGGTTGAGTTCTAGGAAGCTGGAAATATCTGCGTGGGTCTTATAGAAAGGAATTCTTGATGACATCTAAATAAAGATAGTCTACTACCTTTGTGTTCTTTGTTTCACAGGAGATGCTATAAAAATATAAGAAGTTGCTTCAGCTACCTCCTGTAAAGTATATGATTAGTCTTATTTCTCTCGTTTTATTACCAAAAGACTATCTTTTCTTTCAGGCAACAGTTGCAGCTTTTGCAGCTAGTGAAGGCCACTCCCACCCTCGGGTAGTCGAACTGCCAAAGACTGACGAAGGCCTGGGTTTTAACGTGATGGGAGGAAAAGAACAGAATTCCCCAATTTATATCTCTCGCATCATTCCTGGAGGGGTGGCTGAAAGACACGGAGGACTCAAAAGAGGAGACCAGCTGCTATCAGTGAATGGAGTGGTAAGTTCCTAAAATAACCACAGATTTTCTCCCTAAGTACACACCCCTGCTATTACTGAAGTCAGTGTTGAAATGCTGTAACAGACCATAATTTTGTTTCCAACTAGCTTCTTGAGTTTGATGGATACTGCATCTATAAAAGCATAAATTTTATATTTTTATGTTTCATTTCATCTTGCTCAGATATGATAAATACCAACTAGCTGGAAAATCATCCAAGAAATTTTCCCAACTTATACTACCCTTCTCCATAATACTGTAATTGAATTAATATTTGGATATCATAATAATTTCAAGTTGCTTTAAGCAAAAGCACACTTTTTAAAAGTAAAAATCTTAACCCAGTTATTGCCAGGAGCGGTACATTGACATAAGTATGTGTCTGCTTTTAGTTCTCCTTCAGATCATAGCTGTGTAATAAGTATTACATCATAATGTTGTAGTGAAATCATCAGCCAAACTTTAAATGTCTGCACTGTTGTCTCTGATCACTGTCACATACATAATTGCTGTTTCCATTTTGACATGTAGGAGGGCTTTACAGTAGAAACACCAGTAAACAACTTTCATACTTTTAAAAGTAAAAGTCTTTATAGTGTGTACCTCTCATCTTAGTTGAAAAAGAAGGATAATTTTAATAGTTATATAATAATAACCCATGAAAAAAGAAAATGCATTCACTCTTTTGAGTCATCTCTATAGCCAGAATATGATAAATACGTATTAGCTTTTCTCCTAAAAACTTTGATTACTTTAGTTATTTATCATGTCATAGTTTTCCAATGACATTGAAGTCAATTAAAATATATAACATTTTAAAGTAAAAGTATGAATGTACATTTTTTTAAATTGGATGCCATTGTCTACATATGAGGAGAGGTAATGATAAGTTCTTAAACAAATAGATTCATGTCCAATAGAATAAATGTCTCTCTATATTTAGATTAAATATGTTAATTTATTCATTATTAAAGAATAATTAATTATGAATTAATTAAATGTCTCCATTTAGACATAAATAACTAAAAAGCATAATTTTTAGAAATAGAAACAGGAATACGTCAGTGTTTACCTAACCAGTAACCTAAGATATTTCCCTGAGAATCTAAGATTTGCTGCATGTGGTGGTGCATGCCTCTAATCCCAGCACTCAGGAGGCAGAGGCAGGAGAATCACCATGAATTTGAGGCCAGCAGATCAAGGCCATCATGAACTGCATAGTGAGGCCCTGTCTCAATAAATAAATAAGTAAATAAATACCTAAAACGGTGTATAAGCTAGATTTGGGTTCTCTGTAGCTGTATTGATTTCTGATTAGAACACAGCATCCAGAAATACACTTTGGATGTGATATTTAATTGGTAACTAGGGAGTAAAATTCTTTTGCATTTACCTCTTGAATTTTGTTTATTTGTTTTTTGTGTTTTTAGTGTGTCACTAATAGTTTTATACCACTCAAAACTATTTGGTTAACTGTGCAGTTCTCTAGTGAACATCAAAATTATCAATCCATGAATATTTTATGTTATTTCAGCATTCCAAATCTAAAGTAACCATTTTATTTACTTTTTTCTACGTGGCAATGCTTTCAAGATAAGCTTTTTTATTGACTTTTCAATAACTATAACTTTTTCAAAGCATGTTTCAACTGAAATTCTAGAGCTAAACTTTCTGATAGAGGGCTCTAGGCCAAGATCACAAAAATAGGACCCACAGTAATTATGTCAGGATATGAATTTATTTCCCTGAATATATTGGAAAGGTCAAAAGAGGGTATAGGCTTAAAAGTAGTAGTATGCAAAGTAACAAAAAAAAATAGCAAAATGTTTTAAATGTAATCTTTTTGATTCATTAAGTTTATTGGTACATTTTAGTATACAATATGATGGCATTCATGATTGGGAATTTGTACCTTTACATGATATATCTTGGTTCTTATTTTTTCCCCATTCCCCTACCTTCCCTTCCATTCCTCTATTTTCAAAGGCTTAAAAAGAAACAATAAATATACAGACTTCAATTTTAACAGGTAATTGAGTTCAAGGAGCTAACGAATCTCTGTTTGAGCCACACATGTGCAGGAAACACAGCTGTAAGCATTTCACAGTCGTTCATCCATTCCTGGCAATAACTTTGTGAGGACCCCAGGGGCGACAAGGGGGAATTGAAACAATAAAATTAGACAGACAGAGTTCTGACCCTCTACATCCATGTGATTATTGACTAAAATCCCCCACACCTTAATTTCCAATAGGAAAAGAGGACTAGTAGCTATAGAATTACAGTGAGGTAAAATATCTGTGAAGAGTTGTCCTGTGATCACCTGGTCCTACGCAGCTCCGGTTGGGAAGGGTGACTGCTGAAGGCGGCTGAGGGGATGAGTATATCAGCCTTCTGCTCTTGCTGCTTATGTAAGATATACAGTATGTCTTACCTCAGATTCTACTACACATACAGGTGTATGATAGCAGACATTTATTAGCAAGAAGGTAGTAATCAGCTCTTCTATAAAACTGAAAAAAACCCAGTTTTCTGCTCATACACTTGTTTCAATCATAGCCTTGAAAATAAGACTCACTTGAGTCAGATGGGACATGTCAAGGTCAGAATTTTGTTTTCTTTATGTTCAGTCTCAAACTACTAGAAATGCTATTAAAATGACAGTTGGAAATGGAATAGTTGAGCGATCAAATTTTAATATGATCCTCCCCATGCTAATTGTATGGTAAAAGTTAATAGACACCCTAAGATTTACATGCTGTTAATGAAAGGTAGTGAACATCTCCGAAACACTTTAATATCTCACATATATTTAAAACCTTTAAGTCTTACAAGTTCCATGTATAACATATTGTGCTAGTTAGTAGGTCACTAACTTCACCAAAGAAAATCAATTTCTAACATATTTTGCTAATATGCAAAGTATTGTTGATTCATTTAAATAAGTATAACAAATGTTCTCTAAGCAGAAATGACTTAGAGTGTTTCCTTTTCTGATATAATACTGACTGATCAACACTAGTTGATAATATATAAGTATATAATATAAAGTACATATTTCAAAGATAGTTTAACAGTGCCTAATATTTATCAGGTATTCATTAAAAGACATGAGAAAAGTTATGATCCAGTAGTTGTTCACAGTTACACAGTATGCTCAATTCTGGAACTTCGGATTTTTAACATCAAGTCCAAAGGTCTCTTCCATATAAATAATTTCAAGCATTGATTCAAGCATCAATATTTAATGAGTTTTTAAAATTTTTTCTTTGTAATAGAAGAAGAAAAAGCTAGCAAATTATCAAATCATTTCTACCTTGAAAAAAGGTACCATTTAGGGAGACTAATAGGAAAGATTGTTTTAGAATGTGTCATTCTCAATTGAGAACAAAGTTTGGAAGGAAGTGATTTGTAGTACTAAAGAAAACCTTATTTTAGTATAAGAACTCTGAGGACAATTCCCAAGTCTCCTAGTTTAAGAATAAAATAATTTTGCATCAAGCTTTAAACATCTGGAGAGATAGCCCAAATGATGTTTTTGTTTATTTTTATGTCTTAGCTGTATTGGGAAGGAATGTGTCATGATGACTGGTAAAAAAATACAGAATTAATACAGAATTGTTAACATGTAAGGTTAGGTAATAAAGTATAATGGAAAGGGGGAAAGCAATAAACAGAAATAAAGAAAAGACATGGCAATTTAACAATCGATTTTTTTCTTTTACCTTCTTTAAGTCAAAACAGAAATAAACCCAAGCCAGTTCAACTATCACTGGGAGAAAATGTTTCCCCTATTTCTGGGCTCCAAAATAAATTCCCCACAGGATTTTTATAAATAAGACATTAAATCACCTAATGCAATTTCGTAGAAAATACTGAGGTCTTTTGTGTATGACTACTTCTAATGTCAACCCACACCAAAAACTCACACTTGATTGCTGAATTGAAATTTAACATTAACAGGAGATGAAAATGTTACAGTTAGAATTTATAGCTTTTTAATAGTCTCCTTTTCACCCTTTTATGCTCAAGTGTTTTCTCAGTGATTTTAAGAAAAGAAACAAGGAATATTTATAAAGGTTAAAGCCAAGGAGGAGCCAGCAGTGATAGCAAATATATTAAGTGATAGAGTAAGGATATTAAAAAAAAACTCAACACTGATACAATAAGCCTAATTTAATAAAAATCTACAGGAAGTCCCACTCCTATACCCAGAAAACAAGCTGCATATGTGCAGCAGCAGAGAATAATCACTAAATATCAAATCTTGAAAAAAAAATCCTGAGGCCATCAGTTGATTTCAGGGGAATATAAGACAAAGGGACAGCTGAAAAGGCAACAAAACATGCTACTGTGATTGTAGGGACATCCATGTAGATATAGTCTATGGAGCAAGAAAAGAGTGGTCCAGCTCTTGCATGCACTGTTTAGCCCACATCCAACTGGATTCTGATCCACTAAACAGACACAAGGAAGAAAGAGCAGTCTTGTCTATGAGGAACATGTTAAAGAAGAACTTGAAGGGCCAGAGATTTGGCCCAATGGTGCTGCCGCCTGCCTTGCAAGTGCAAGGTCCTGAGTTTGATCCCCAGTGCAAAAAGCAGAAGGAGAAGGAGGAGGAGGGTGGGGAGG